ATATCCATTTACCAAATTGAATAGCTCCTTGATACAATCCATTATTAGGAAACACAGTAGAATGCCTCTAGGTTGAGGATCTTTTTGCATAGTAACTGTTGGGGCTTCACTGAAGTAGAGACCACTGTAATTTTCACTTTTTACTTGTGAAATGTTATATTCTTAAAAAGTACTCTAAACCAAACAGCTTTGGACATGAGTTTGGACATTTTAAACAAAAATATAAATTAAAATTACTTAAAATTTTACTAAGATAATCTATATATTTTTAAAAGTAAAAAATATTCAAACCTAAAAAAATATATTTTTTAGACAAATTTAGTAATTATTAGAGCTTGGACATGGTCAAAAAAAAACCTTGGATAGTGAAAAATACACAACTGCTCTAAACTGTATAAATATGTTCAATTATAAGTATTGACCAATAGAAGGAAATTATCCTATATAGTCACTATATAACTAGATATTCAATCACACTCATGATCATCCTCTCAATTGAATAATATCAAAATTTGCAAAACATCCCTATCATCAATACTTTAAAAATAAAGAAATAACTTCTTGGAACTTGTATGACTTTTTACTTTATAGATTCAAACAACGTGATTTTAATATTGATCCTCGCTTTCTCCAGGGGTTTTAGCTTTATTGGGGGTTTCATCATAGTTTTGACACTTTACCAGAGTTTCACCAGTTCCAATTACCAAAATAGTTTTGCCTAACAACAGTAGTGTCTTCATATTTTGCCATTTTCACCATATTTTACCATATTTTGCCAGGTTTCACTAGTTTTACCAGGTTTCATCAGTTTCGCCAGGTTTCACCAGTTTTGTCATTTCGTCTTTTTGATTTTTTTTTTGGCAAAAGTCGAAACTAGGTTTCACCTTTCGCCTAACAACTGTATTTAGAGCTATAACAATTATTGCATCAGTAGTTTGGTTTGTTCTACCAAGTAAGTTTTTAAAACTTTAGAATGACTAATTACAGAATTAACATCTAACTTGTACCATTTTTTAACCTAGTTGTTTATACAATCTTCACAATACATGACATTGATTCGATTCCATTCAATTGTCAGTATGACTTTAAATTTGCAAAAAGTAAAGCTGCATGTAGGATTCAAGTAGCGAATTTTATTTTTATGTGGTTATATTTAGCTAATGTGATAGCTTGCCTTATAATTATGATTACTTTGATGTTTGAAGATGAAAACACTAAAGTAAATAAGAAAATAATCAAATAATGAAGTTTATCTAATAAAATAAAACCACACATTATAAACTGAGCATTATAGAAAAAATTGTAAGAAAAATTATAACTTCTGTAATTTTTATAGGTTGAAAAAAGCTTTTGAAACTAAATAGACGTTTATATCAATTGTTACTTCAAAGAATCTACACATTGTGTCAGCAATGACAAGTTCTTTTTTCGATGAAATTCCATTAATAAATATAAATTGATATGCAACAATGCTTTGAATATTTTTTCTTCTGATTTATCAGTATTCTAGCAAATACATAAGCTCATACATTCTGTTTCTATAATTTAGTTCAATGCTCACGTGGTCTAATGATGTCTGATGAAACTCATGTGACTCGACAGACTCCGATGGCAACTAGATGCCGTCGGAGAATAAACTGAATAAACATTTATTTTTTATTTATTTGAATTTACAAAATGGACAGAAAACTTAGATGGTATAATTATCTGATTGCGATTTCTTGGCAACCATCTGATCAAATTCGATGAATTAAATAAAAAAAAAATTCATCGAATTTGATCAGGTGGTTACCGAAAAATCGTAATCGGATAAATTCAAATTTAAGTCAAATAAGTTCAATTACAATTATAAATTTAAATTTAAAAATAGCTTGCACCTATCAGATTAGCCCAATTCCATTTTATATTACAATTAAATTTCATTGGATTATTCTAATTGTGTAACTTTGGTTAACAAAAATTTTGCGTAAGATTAATTGGTAATAACGAAAATTTATTAATAACATTGATATATTACAGAAGTGTTGTGTAATAGATTATTTATCTAATTGTCAATCTTTATTCATTATTATCCAAAATTCTAATTGTAAAATTAGAATCACTCTCATCTAAAGTAATCTTAAAATTGTGATAACTTTCATTTTGAATAAATATTTTTTACTCTAAACTTCTTATGTGTTGACATAGGTTATTGATTTCTTCATCTTCTTTTTAAGAAATTATAAATATTCATCGTAGACATTAACTGTAAATTTCAGATATTGCAGTCATATTCACATTTATTTTTAATTATTAAATTTTGCAAATGTTCGATTTTGCTATTGAGTTCTTTTATTTGTTTTTCAAAAAAATTATTAAGATCTTTTGTGGAGTCACCATCTTTACGAAGATGTATTCTAGTATTCCGACTTAAGCAAGGCATAATTCAACAGATTATGATTATGATTCAAACTGATATTTTATTTCTTTATATACTATGATTTGATGAAAATTTAATACATAGTATTGTTTGAAAAATCAGTATTATTAAGAGAGTATATATGGCTCTCCAAAGAATTATATGATTCTTTCATATTTTTTATTTGCATTTCTTATTGTATTTCAAATTGTTGCTTTCAATTATAATTTATAATGAAGTCTACAAAATTCATCTATTGATATGTAATGTATTGACTTCGAAAAAACAATTAGAATGCACAAGAATAACATGTGTACAAATTCCTGCATATAATATAAACATGGATAAGCCTATCTTTGTATGACTATTTGTGATTATAGTGATGGAGACTTGAATTATTTTTTACAAGATTTTGATATAGAAAGAGTAAAGTTAGAAGTTTTTATATTACCTTTTAATGTTGAGCTCAACCTACTTCCAAGTTTAAAATCCTTTATTGAAAAAGTTAAATATTTAAGATGTATAGAAATAGTGCGATCAGAAAATTACAATGTAGAAAAAACAAAAAAAGTGAGATAGAAATTATTGATCTCTGTCAAGTTAGAAATATTAAATGTATTTTAAATCTCAGTTAGAGAGAAATAAAGATTATTATTGTACATGTGCAATAGAATTTAAATTATTCATAAGGAATGAAGAATAACTTTCCAGGCTATGTGAAGGTAAATTAATCTTGATTAATTTTCCTATTCTAACAGTTCAAACATGTAGCACTCAAATATCGATATAATCAAATTAAGAATGTAAACCTAGGCTAATTAATTAATTGGAAGCATTTTATGTTTGTGATTCAAGTGTAGTGTCTTAAAAGTATCATTAAACTATAAATTTTAATATTTAATACGTAACGTTAATTAAGCTCAAATTTCTCGTGAAACGTAAAATACAGCAGTAGTGTTACCGCTACGTAAGAAATACTCCAAAATAGGTTCAAGGAACCCAAATGCAGTATGTTGTGTTTAGGGTTTTCAAACAGTTTTTACATATTTAAAACATTTAATACAGAACTTGGTAATGCATTTTAGTATTAAGAAATTCTTTATTACATACAACTGAACTATCCAGAATAACTCGCTGAAGAAAATACACAGCTTTTAAATATTTTTAGTATGGATCCAATTCCATACAACACAGCAATATTACCTTAAAGAATTTCAACGATGAGGATCTCAATGTCGTTGGACATTTTTCAGGTTCAGACTTCCAACGTGAAGTCTGAACCTGAAAAATGTCTTACGAATGGATTGAATCGATTAACTTTAACTAAAATATAACCAATCAATTAGCACAGCTATCTTTGCATAACTATGGCCCCATCGAGCAAAGCCCGAAGGAAAATCCCTCGGGCACCATTTAAATCTCTATTTATTCAAAGTCCACACCCATCACACCTAAACTCTTTATTTCCTCCTAAATTATCTTTAATATAACCCAAACTCAATGAAGATTCTACAAGAACTAACTAAACATTAAACCCACAATAAAAATAATTTAAATCAGCATAATTAATTTTCAAAAATTCATTCGTATTAACTAACATTACAATTTAAAATGTGAATTTTATAAATTAAAATTGGTCTCATAATTAATTTTGACTGGTTAAAATGCATTAGATCATCATTTACAAAAGTTAAATAACCTTCTAAGGTCATTTGGATTTGAAATGACAAATGACTGATCATTTATCATTTGAGTCATTTGAGTCATTTGGTCATTTCAAGTCATTTACCATCTTTAAATATGTTAAAAATCTTATGAATTTAATTATAAGTTGCAAAAGGTGGTTATTTATTTGTAAAGACTCTCAAGTGAAGGCAAAATGGATTATTTTTCCATTTGGGAGGGCTCATTGTCTTTTTCATGCTATTAGGCTAGGTTCTACATTTATCTCTGTTGCAGTTACTCGTGCTATTATTACTAAAGCTGGAATCCTTTCGAGATACTTTGTTCAACGCATTATGCCCAAAACTTATCGAATTAAAGATCGCACATGGTGTTGGACACCGATATAGACAGAATAAGAACTTTACAACAAAAAAAATAATTCCATGGGCGAGTAATTTGCCTCTCATCTTTTATTAACAGCTAATTTGTACTTGAAAGGCAATGATATGGAGCTTTTCCACTTATTGATACAGGCTGCAAAATATTTTGGAAAGTAAATTACAGGTAACTTTTAGTATTAAATTATATATAAACAATTAATGTCAACATTTTATACCTATAATTATTGCGTTAATGATGATTTGGGTTAAAAATATAATTTATTTTCTTGTCTTTATTATGATTAAAAATTTAATAATAAAGGTGAGGCATTAAAAATGGAAAAAGTTCTAAAATTAAGTTCCTTAAAATTTACAACTCAAACATAAGGACAATTATAAAAGGTGATAACTATAACTATGAATCATATTTTCCATTTCTATATAGAAGGACAACCGATAGATACACATTAGTTATTTATTGATATTATTTAGTTATTTATCGATCGATAGAAAATTCCAAATATAGTAAAATAATAAAATAATAAATATATGATAGTTCAAAAACCTATAATTTCACCTAACAATCCTTGGAATTGTATTGGATCATAAATAGGTCCATTAGCATGATCGTTGTTATCATCATAAGCAATATAATTACTATATAACCAACCCAAGTTAGTGTTTTGATCATAAAGCATTATATAAGGAGATCCACTTGCACCTTCTCCTAAGTCTAAGGCAGGTACGAAATAAAACTCATGCAAAAATACTTCTCCATCCCATGTACAAAGAGTTTCTCCATCATTTGGACAATCTTCAAGATCACCTCCCTCTGGATAACCGCGAATAGTTGTTTCAACACCTTCTTCTACATTGAATCTCCAACCGAGAGCTCCCGTAAAATCTTGTAATGGATGGCCATTCATGTTAAATGTAAACCTCATAAAGCCCCAATCGAAATGATCATCATTATTATTAATAAATTCATCTGGCACTACCGCCTCTTCAACAGGAATTAGATTAAGTGGACCTTGTTGTCCATGGTCATATCCGGGAGAAAACATTATATTATCAAAATATTCATGATTTTCGTCATCATAAAGACAATGCGCTGCAGTAAGTCCAATATTTCCACTTTCAGGAGTGTTGATTACACTGGCGGTACAAGTACTACCGTCAGGAAGGAATAACATTCCGATGGGAAAAGCTTGAACTTGGTCTACATCTGCTACGCTCACTGTATGATTAATTATATCGTATTTTCTCTCCAAAGGGGGCATATATTTTGAGGAGTTAGTTGTATTTCTTATAGTTTTAGTATTACTTCTTGATTTAAATGTAATATTTCTTTTTTTTAAGGATTTGGTTTTTTTTTAATTTTTCTGGTGTTCTAAAATCAAGTTTCACATTATCATTATGTTTAAAAATCGTTGGAGTTGAATAACTTGAATCAGTTTTAAAGGTTAGAACAACTAATGCAATTAAGAAATAAAATATAACTTTTTTGTTCATTTTTTATTAATTTAGATAAAAAAAAATAAAATGCTTAAATAAATAAATAGTATATTAGAGGATTGGGTTTAAAAAAAAAACTACAATGTTAGAAAATAATTTTTTAGTGGCTTTTAATATTTAAAAAATTATCTGACGATCACCTATGCGAGTTAGTCGTGCCGAAAAAAGTGTCGGTACTGTGATCCTTCTGGAACTTGAATCTAAAAACTGATCTCATTAATTAATACAGCGTTTATCAATATATTATCGTTAGTGTACATGGATAGGACCCCGAACAATATATATAAAGGTTATATTGGCTTTAGCACAAACTTTTTAAAATTTATCCACTATTTAATTCATTTTGTTCGTGAGCCATAGAAAATATGTGTTTAAAGTAAGATATTCATATTCAAGAAATATTTACTATTTAATTTCATTTACTCGCGTTAATTTAAGCATAAGTATAAAGAAATTTTAACCTTATTTTTTTCACCGATTAAAATAGTTATTATAAGTCGTCAAACCTCCATCATGACACGAAGAATAACGCCCTTATTTCCCACTACGGATAAATAACCCGGCAGATCTCTGGGCCCTCATATATTCGGAGATTTACCTCCCAATGTTGCGGATACTTATTAAACAGGGATGTGAATAGCATAGATTAATCAAAAATATTCTTGTCTAATTGTCTAATCATCTATTATGTCTAGTGATGTGCCATTTATATGATATCCAGATTTTTTTAGCGTACAGTACGTACAGTACGTATAGTGCGTATAGTATGTATAGCATGTGCAATATGTATGATATATAAACTATCCATATGCAAAATTTCGCAAGGAGTGATTTTAATTAGGCTACAAAAGGCAGTTTCATAAGGAAACTTTTGAGATATGAATGGTTTTATAATCTGTTCTAGAATATTCTAAAAAAAATTTTGCGTACTTTACTATACACGGCACATCACTAATTATGTCTAACGCTAATGTCTGTTCATATTAGCTAGATTATAATGTCTAAAATTAACCAATCAGATTACTTTAAATTATATATTTATTTGTTTATTGTCTAATGACTTGATTAGATATCATTAGATCATTAGACTGTCTATTAGTCTGTTGGCTTGTCTATTGACTATTTACGACCCTATATTTAGTAATGGGACTTTCGAGTTTTTTAGTTAATAATAAAAAAATTAATAATTAGTTAATAATAGTTAATTTTGGTGTGTTAAAAACTGCATATTAAAAATTGCAGGTTAATGTAATTGTTAATTGTATGCAAAAAAAAATAAATTTAGTACATTGATATAAGCATATAATCAAGCTCTAATTTGAAAGAAATATTGTATGAAAATATTGGTATTGTACATATAATTTCAATTAGTTATGTCATACATTATTAAGTAGTTTTTAGTTAATAACTCAGCCAAATTGTTAATAATTACTATTAATTATTAAGTGTTCAAAATAAGCTATTCTAATATAACATTATTTCGGACATGCCCATGTGGGTTATTTCAAAATAAATGTAACTTTGCTTGGAAAACGCATTTATAAAATGAGCATATATGGGGATTGATCACTGATGTGTACTAGTATTTCGCAGATCAGTATAGTATAGGAGTGTACGATATAACCGTACTATACTTATCTGCTATTATACATAACGATAATTGGAAATCAGTATGCTATACTTTTACTATACAGATCTGCTATTATAGATAAGTGTTGCCAAAAGAAAACATATCTATTTACATAAAAATAGTTGATTACAGAAAATCAGTATGGTACAACTGAGCAGACCAGTATAGTAGATGTTCAAAGAGTTGTCGTTGAATTATCATCATTACAAGTAATTATAGAAAATGTTACAAATAAAATTGCAACTGATTATAATGTCCATAGGGTTTTGATCAAATTGTACATTTAGGACATGATAATTATCATGTTATTTTGTAGTTATGATGAACTGGATTTTTAAAAGTCAATATATATTTCTTGCTAGTCTTTTTGTTTATGTTATATTAATTGCATATATGAGGAAGCCTACAACAAAAGGTGGCTTCGGGACAACCAATTAGATTTTAAGATTTTATATAATAGCTATCTAACTAATAGTTATCTTTACAAAAATAATTTTTAATTATTAAATTTTATTAATAAAAATATCGATAGGTTTTGTATTTTTAAACAAACAAAAAATTATGCCAAAAGATTTAATACACATTCTTAATTCTGAATATCAATATATATTTGCACCTGCGTTATATGAATTATGCACATACTGCACCTGTGAAACATCAATCTCATGATTATCAGAACTTAATCTTGTTTTGTTAACTGAATGCACTTTTAATTTTTCCAAAATTAACCAAAATCTGATATCAGTATTACAATATAAAAAATATCATTCCATTCATTCTATTTATTTACTTTTCCAATTCTCAAGACTACATATGAACGAAAATATTGTAATTTGTGTCACTATTATTGTTCACATGTCCTTACTTCAATTTCTTTAAGAGTTTAGTCAGTTTTAAATAACTTAATTTAATAACCATAATTAGATTTATTTTCTTCTTTTATTATAATTCCTATTTATGAAGTATTTACTTTGTGATTCATGAGAAAATTCATTATAAATTTATAAATCTATCACAAGCCTCCCTTTAAAAATTTTATCTTAATTATGCTTCACATGCTACCATCTTTGACCACTTATATGTTATCTTATATACTATAAAAAAAATTATAGAAAAGTGAAACGAATTATAAACCAACTAATTAGGATACTTTAGTCAAATTATTATAAAATTGAAGAACAACATAATAAAGTTTGGTGTTTTCTGCATATTTAATTTACTTGTTCCTTTATTTAATGTTATAAATGCACACATTATCAATTACAAGCACCACCATCAAGAGGTTTTGAAGATTCATTAGAGCCAAATCCTCTTTGTGGTGGTTTTAATACAGTTAATTCCTCTCTTATTGCCAATTTTCCTATTTGTATGTGAAATGAGGAACTATTGAATTATATTATTTTATTTTCAACATTCAAATTAAGTTCCAATCATTAATGATATCTTTATTATTTCAATATACAATACAAGGTATTGCCACAACTAACTTCTTTGATAGAGATGGAACTCTTTATTTTTATTTCATATCCAACATTAATTCTACTTTTATTAGCATTTCAGGTATTAAATCAATATACATACTTATCATTTATCAAGACTTTATCTCAATTGCTCATTTATTTTATCATAATTGTCAAAGACGTTCAAAAACTTGTAATTCCTAACAATGGTCAACAAGTGCATGTGTCAGTTAATTTATCAAAAGCCAATGCGGTTGTAGGTTCTCAAGGCATTCTTCAATCTGTTTTCAACCTGTCTACTGGTGATGGTGCTTGGTACCAATGTGCTGATATTAAAGTAACTAGTAATACTCAATCAAATGCTAATAATACTCAATCGAGTGCTAATAATACACAATCAAGTTTCAGTAATACTCAATCAAGCACTAATGATTTACCAAACATTGATGTATTTGTTCTCTTAGTCTGGTTTTTTATATATTTTGTGTTTTTAAACAGAATTTGAAGATTCTTAAACATTGAATTAAGTTCCCATGAATTTATTTTATATTGTTTACTTTAATATATATAGACACTAACATTTTAAATAAAGAAAACTACAGTAGATATAAAATTACACATTATGTTCAGATTTTATTCAAGGATAATATATGTGTGTTTGACCTTGAATAATGAAATGTCATTTAATCTAATTATTCTTTTTTATATCTAATGTGTTACCAATATTTCATGTGAAATGTATTATTAGCATTATTTTTTCATATATGTTCTCATTTAAAAAATTAATTTTTTTTCCTTCTTTTTTTTTTTTACGAAATAAATGATTTATTTCTATGATTAGAATTTTTTAGATATCTTTAGGCAAGTAAAATTATAGAAAAATTATCAGGATCAATATAGTAACTCTGTTTAAAGATTTTAAGAATATGGAAATATATCTTTAACTTACCCTTCATCAATTAGAGTTTAATTTTTTCAAGGATGAAACCATCAATTTGATGACTAATAAAGTGAACAAATTCTTAATATCCAAATGACAAGTGCCCAATATTAGGTAAGTACATTAATAGACTTTTATCTATATTCTAAATGCGCAAAAATTATATATAAAAACCAAAAAAATGCAATGGCCTACATTAATCCATTCATAATAGTGAACAAATTAACCTCTGTGACAAACCCATACATCCCAACCACAAACAATGATAATCTGAAATAGACCAAAAATATCAGGATGTTAAAGGTCATTTCACCTATACCCAATTTGTGTAGTTGATTTGATTTTAATTGAATAGACTCTGATCGACATGAACTATCATGTCTTGATTGTTTAAATATAAACCATAACAGTCTAGCACTGGAACTTGCAAGGTCAATTATGGATGTGAAAAATGCAACAAAAAGAACCCTCTCATATTCAAGTTCAAAAGAAAAGAACCCAGATTGCAAGATTGCAAAGATGGACAGAATTAAAAATAATAATGTTCCCAATGTTCTAATGAATACAATAACTTTTCTTATCTTTGTTATCAAAATAGACATCGATAATGCATACGAATTCAAATAGAATATTTTACAGAGAATATCCAAGATAAAGATAAATTAATTTGGCTATAAAACACAGAAAATATTTTTATATTTAATAGATAGTATGTAATAATATTGATAATTGCTGTTGACTAAGAATTTAAGCGGACATCTTCAAATAAGTAATTATTATATACTGAAAAATTCACTTTTAAAACTGTAATTATATACTCAAAATTAGAAATAATATATATGTGTATATACTATAAACATAATTAACTTTCATCTAAAACTATAAGGTAATCCAATGTCTTTCATAAAACATTGTCATCCTACGTGTTCCATATTACAAAAATAATGTTACTTGACGAAATTGGATAACTTAATCTGATTGGTTATATAAACTAGCATGTAATTATAATTAAAGGGCTGAAATTCGTCTGACATATGGGCCAATATGCAGAGTTATGCAAAAAAATTTAATACCCCAAGAATTTTTTTTATAGTGGGTTAAGTCGTTTGACAATACGTTTGGCAGAAAAGTTATTTACTGTGCCAAAATGTATAACAATTTCATAACAATAATGACATGTCTCGGTAGGCTCAGCCAAATGGTTAGTCAATAATCTAATGGGTTTTATGCATATACATTAAATTCTTCTTGCAAAATAGTGCAGAATAGTGCAGAATAGACCTTTAATAAATTGATAATGGTGTTCTAATACATCAACAGACCAATCAAAAACAATGAATTAAGAGGTTCAAGTTAAATTTGGTGCCTCCGTCTAAGGTCACATTCCGTAGATTGGCGCATATGATTAGCTGAAACAAATAGATTGCCCTGGTAATTTATTTATACACTTTAAAGCACTTTTTGAGAACACAAACTTATACAAATAAAAGATTGACACAAATATCATTTATAGTTTCAAAAGAGCGCTAGAAAGTTAACTCTAAATTTAATCTCTTATAATGTCTTATTTAGGTAAAGAAAAAAGTTTTTAAAGTGTACTAAAAAACAGTTATTAACAAACCAACAGGCTTTTTTTTTTAAGATTGAGATTTCAGGTTAGGTATTTGAAGCAAGACAAACTTGTTTGCCAAGCTTAGAGATCCTTGGCTTTATATTTAAGATATTCTTAAGTTGGCTTGGTTAAAGCGCACTTGGTCGGATATATTATTATTCAATAAAATTTAAGATTCAAAACAGGTGGGGTATACCTAGAGATGTGCCATTTATATGATACCTGAATTTTTTTCGCATACAGTACGTACAGTACATGGCACATCTCTAGGTACACCTAATTTCTGTCCCTTCTCTAATGCGACATGTGAACATATAGGTCAGGAAATTATCGTTACAACGATCTGGTCACAGGAGGTGTTTGGTAAAATGAAACCATATGACTATATCACTAGATACACGAAAAATCTGGGACAGGTTAGGTTAACCCTGATCACTGAATTAATTATTAAAAAAAATATTATGTCAGTATAAATTCTTTATTAATAACTTTCTGAACATTTCAAATTAAATCAATTTCGAATAAAGATGATCTGAATTGAAGTTTTGCAGGCTGTTTACTAAGTTTGAATAATATTTATTTACATGTAATGCTGTAACAAAAATAATAATGAAATAAAATCCATAAAAACTGCATTAGAAAAGTTTATTTGCAATTATAGAAAAACTCTCAACATATCAATGGGAAAATTACTCACTATAAGTATGTAAATAATTTGCAATTCTTCAATATTCTATGACAGCAGAATCACAAGTAGAAAAAAAAAGACAATTAAAAATTGCAAAATGTCAATAGTTTTATTTCTTTAAACTATATTTCTATATTTTAAAACAAATAAAAGCTAGATGGTTTAATTATATTCTATGTAAAAATATGATGTTTTTCTCAACTTGTTATACTATTAATATCGATACAGTGAGTTGTGACACTAGATAACTGTGTGACGTAAGGATTTCATGGGCACGTGATCTCCACTCAGAACTCCGCTAGTGATGAATTTTAGTGATGAGATATTACCTATTAAAATATAGGCAAAACTATGCATCTTAAAGTAATGTCTGGTCTTATTAACGTTACTGTTTCACCGTATATTGGGAAATTACTTTTTTTTTTTTGTTTTTACTTTATTTCTGTTTATTCATATATATAAATTTTTTAAATAATAAATCATATAAATAAATGCATTATGATTGAAGTGTAAAAAGTGACGTGACAATAGCAAAAAAGAATAGTCCACCACATACATAATAAATACAATATTTATCTGTAGGATTGTAATGGCATGCTAGTGGCAACATTCCATGTAATATCACATAAAGTAAAGTGCCTGTGACCATTGAGAAAAGAAATCCAGAAACTGCACTGTTCCACACAGTAATGAAGAGAACATATCCTAGAGTAGCACCTAGCATTTGAGAAATTACACCTATCGATGCAGCAATAATGAAGGCTTTCCATCGTGAACCAGTCACGTAATATATTGGTAAAGAAATAATAATACTCTCAGGAATTTTGCTGTTAGATATTTTTAATATGTTAATAGTTAGTTGAAAGTTAGAAAATAGTTTGAATAAAGGTATAAACTTTTATTTACTGTAACGAGAGCGCAATTGTGTATATTATTCCAATTTGAGGAGCAGCAATTGCAGCTGCAAAAGGTTGATAATCCTTCCAGAAAATTACTAAAATATTTGTGACATTTAAAAAAAAATTGTAAATTGAGTTCTTTTTCCTTTTTTTTTTTTTTTAATATTATTAACTTACTGAATAGCCAAGGCAATAGCGATTTGAATGTCTAAAGTTTTGAGTTTATGAGTGTCTTGAGATTTGATCACAGTTAATGAATTCTTGTTTATTTTTTCATCTTTATTTTCTACTTCTACGTCATCTTTACCATTTTTTGCAGCTTCTGATTACTATGTTTATGAGAGAGACCAAAAACAGCCTTAATAATCATAATTATCACCACCGTTACAATAAATACGGATGCTGCCACTAGATTTGCATATTTCTCATCAAAAAGACCTGATGTTTGAAATGATTCAATTGCTTCAGGATAAAGATCACCTAGCGTAAGGAACAGTAATATTCCTGCAGAAAACAACAAAGATGTCGCAAGAAATCCTTTTGATTGCACTATACTAAAGTCTCTAAGACCTGGGATATGTGGGAACAAGTGATCAAGTAATGGTAGAAATGATCCTAACGCGGATGAAAGTGCAGCCATGACTGAAAGCCCAAATCCAAGAGAGATGTATCCAGTAGCAAAAGTTGAAGATTTGCTGGTAGCATAGACAGATGGCAGTGAAGGAAAGGGTTTATCATTACTAGATGGTGTCCCATGTGCTTCTATACTGAATGTGGCCAATGTGATAACTAGAATTGATGAAATGAATAAATTCTTATATATTTTTTGCAACATGATTATTTCGGATATATAAAAATCATTGAGAAGGATAGTCTGTTCTTTGAATATTGTGTTAAGATTTTGTATAGAGATAGCCTTATACTGAGAAATCTTGTGAATGGCTTATAAAATTGTAATGTGTAAATTTTTGTATTTCATATAAATAGATATGTTAATAATAAAGTTGACAATTTGATGAGTTGGTTTTTTTACATTGTTGCATGACACATTATGGAACAAATTGACAGCCAACTTACTTTTTTAAGCTTAATATCCTTTCAAACATGGCTTTCTTATTATTATGTTTTTGCGTTCTATTAAACAATGCCAAAGGATTTAATAAAAGCCGATACATATTTTTAATTCTGAGTATACTAATATAAATTTGCATTTGCATTACATGAATGATGCACACACTGCACTTGTAAAACATTCATCTCACGATTATCAGAACTTAATCTTGGTGGATCCGAATTTGATACTGTATTAATTTTTCCAAATTAGCCAAAATTTGATAGTTATTACAATATTTTATTATTATACGTATTCATTTTATTAATGTTAAATTTACTTTTTCAATTCTCAAGGCTATACGTGAACAAATAATGTACCAAATATTGTAATTTTGTGTCAATATTATTGTTCACATGTTCTTCCTTTAGTGTCATCCGAAAAAGTTGTCTATATGTGCAATAACACACTGATTTTTAATGCCATTCTTTTATATACCTAATTTCATAATCGTAGTTGGATCTTTTATTATAATTACTGTTTATAATATTTACTTTGTGATTTTGGATTGTGAGAAAAATTCATTATAAATTTATAAACCTGGCACATGCCCCTTTCAAAATGTTATATCAATTATGCTTCACATGCTACCATTTTTGATACATATACAATCATCACATATACGTTATTTATATACTATAAAATAAAATTATAGAATAATGAGCCGAATTATAATCTATCCGATTAGAATACTTTAATCTTGTTATTAAAAAATTGAAAAAAAACACAATGAAGTTTGGCATTTTCTGCATATTTAGTTTACTTATTCCTTTGTTTAATGTTATAAATGCGCATTATCAGTTACAAGCACCTTCATCAAGGGGTTTTGAAGATTCATTGGAGCCAAATCCCTCCTTGTGGTGGATTTGATACAGTTAATTTCTCTCTTATTACCAATTTTCCTATTTGTAAGTAAAACAAGAAACTGAATTATACTTTAACATTTTTATATTCAAATTAAGTTACAATCATTAACTATATGTTTATTATTTCAATATACAGCACAAGGTATGGCCACAGCTAACTTCTTTGATGGAGATGGAACTCTATTTTTATTTTGTGTCCAACATTAATTCTACTTTTATTAGCATTTCAGGTAATTAAATCAATATACATACTTATCATTTATCAAGGCTTTATCTCAATCGCTCATTCATTTTATCATAATTGACAAAGACACTCAAAAACTTGTAATTCCTAATAGTGGTCAACAAGTGCATGTGTCAGTTAACCTATCAAAAGCCAATGCGGTTGTAGGTTCTCAAGGCATTCTTCAATCTGTTTTCAACTTGTCTACTGGTAATGGTGCTTGGTACCAATGTGCCGATATTAAAGTAACTGGTGATACTCAACCAAGTGCTAATGATGCTCGATCAAGTGCTAATGTCATTATTGCTCTGCCAAATGTCAGTGGATTTGCTCTCTTAGTCTGGTTATTTGCATACTTTGTCTTTTTAAACATAATTTGAAGATTAATTCTTGAGAATTAAATTAAGTTCTTATGAATTTTTATTACTATGGAGGACTATTATTATTTCAAATTGTTTGCTTTAGCATATATAAACAATATAAAAAGTGAAGAGTTCTAAACATTTATTCCAATAATCATAAAAATAAATTAAGTTTTTTGTTTAATTTTCTTTGAGAGAAAAATTTTCCACCTTTAAAATCTATTTGTCCACCAAGAACATTTTTAGCATTTTGTAAAGAATTTATCACACAATTACTGAATTAGTATTATTTATTTCCTGGGGAGCTCATATGATTATCAGGAATCTCTATTGTAATTTTAAACTCCTCACAGGAAATAAATTTATAATACCCTGCTTTACGTTGTTCATTATAATTTTTCACGTGATTATTTGTGACCAGGAATCTTCCTACAGAAGATTTCCGGTCATGATATGATTGTGCAGAAAATTATAATGAAGGTAGACATGAACAAAAAATAGTATCTCGTGTTATTTATGTTATGTAACCCAAATCAATAATGATTTTTTAATATTTAATATCTAATGCATGATCTTTAAATATAAATACACGCTGGATGGGAGCTTTGAAATGCTTATGGGTTTCAAAAAATTTATTTGAACATCTGTGATTTTATTTAATGAATATTAGCATAATGAAGTATTTTATTTTTGCAATTTTACTTACGCTTTCATTTAATAATGTGAACGCGCATTCTAGGCTCCTATTTCCTCTCCAAAGAGGTGAAGTACAGAATTATACTGCACCTTGTGGCAGTTTTAATGAGGTCAATACATCTCATATTACTAAATTTCCTGGTAAGTTTACAAACTGAATTCAGAGTGTGGAACTTAGCTTCTTAATTATAACTATCATTTATTCATTTGCATAATGATAGTAAATGATTATGCTATCAATAAATTTGGTCATGATACAAATGGCACTCTGGCTTATTATTTCACTCCTGATCTGGACTCCGAGTTTATTCTCATGTCAGGTAATTACCTCAATGTATATATATATAATATATAAAATTTTCGAATTATTTATTTTTATTTTTACCATATCATAAAGAAACAAAGCATTACTTCATCCCTCATGAAAGTGAAAATGTAACTACACAAGTTAACCTAACCAAAGCCGATGCAGATATTGGTTCTCAAGATGTTCTTCAAGCAGTTTATATTGCTGGCAATGACACTTTTCCTTCTAACACCACTATGTATCAGTGTGCTGATATTGAAGTAGCTGATGAAATATCTATTTAGTTTTATTGGAAAGCTAGATGATAACACTTTGCTTAGTTAAGTTAGTAATAGTTTATCACTGATTCATCAGATATTGGATGAATTACTTCTTATTCAAGAAGCTTTATTTTTATTTAGGGTATATAAATATTAAATATTACTAACAGACCCAAAACATGTTAACTTTATCAATATAATTGAATAAATAAATAAGTGCAAATGGAAAAATCAAAAAGACTATGTAACTAATGAGTATTATAATGTTAACACGATATAAAATTTTAGTCCGATCCCTAAATACTATTATAAAAAAAACGAAATAAGCACATACATATACATGATGAGTATTTTTATTTAAATTACTATTTTTGTAAATTTTTGGTATTTTTGTCTAATTTGTAATTTATCATTTATTGTTAAAACCTTAGCTCTAATTTTTTTATGCTTAGCAGAATATTACTTTGGTGACGCATGTGAGCAATTAATTAACTTCAAAGCAAGTTTATTCATCAATTTACAAATAAAGAAAGATTTAATTATATGTTGCATTATGATTAGTCATAATCTGTACCTCAATCCGTTAGAAACAAAATTTTTATTTGAACATATATAGATCGTTATAAATGATCTAGTTACAGGAGGCATTCATTAAAATGAATCATCTGATTATGTCACTAGATAGCACAGAAAATCTGGAACAAGTTATGTAAACTCAGATCTCAGATCTCGAATCTCTGAATAATTAATCATTAAGAAAATATTACATCAATATAAATTTTTTATTAATACCTTTTCCATATTAATCATTAAAAGATATTAGATTAATATAATTTCTTTATTAATAACTTTTCTGAATATTTCAAAGCAAACCATTTTAGAATAAAAATAATCCGAACCGAATATTTACTAAATGTGAATAATATTTTATTTTCATATAATTCAGTAGCAAAAAAATATTGAAACGAAAACACAAAAATTCAGAAAAAACTGAGTTAGAAAATTTTATTTGCAATTATAGTAAAGCCCGTAATATACCAACAGGAAAATTACTTTATTATCTAAGTTCTTCAGGCAGTTACTATATTATGAATAAAAGGAAAATGGCGAAGGTAAAAATATATATATATATTCTGACATTATATGTTCCAATAGCATCATTCATTTCAGCAAATTTTTTGAAATAATCAAATATTTTAAGTTCATTTTTTTCGACTTCTTCAAGTTGTGTTGATAGTTCAAAGTCAGTCGAATCATGATAAATATACAGAAAAAGGTGAATTTTTTTGAATTGCTTTATGCTAAAAAGTTATTAGAGGAAGGTCTCCCTTGTATTATTAGAAAACCGAAGGGATATGAGAATGGAGGAATTGATATACAAGAATGTTATGGTGGTAAAATATTCTATATTCAAATCAAAAGTACATATCTTAATCATAAGGACATTAAAAAATTTTGTAAATGTATTGGAACACAAAACTATAGAGTTCATCACATTTTTATTCTTACACAATGGAATTTAATGAAGTGGAAACAGGAGAAGTCATGCTAATCAATACGAATAAGTTTTATTGTTATGCTCATCAAAGATATTTTAATACAATTATTCAGATAATTAAGTCCAATACTAGTCATTCAGTCGATTTTAATTGTCGAAAAGAATGTTTTGATATACATTGAATGAATATATTGTTGGTGGAAAAGGTTGTAAAACATTTTCAAAATAATTTTAATTTGAATTTGACTTATCCTGTGACAAAAGAGTTTAATTTTCCAATTTTGGGATTAAATGTTGATAAAGATGAACAAACAATTGGCTATCTTAGAGTCGATTTGCTTGTAATATATCAAAAATTTTATTTTTTCATTTGTGATTTAATTAATTATGAATATAATAATATTGATGACATTAAATGACATCTAAGTGATATTCGAGAAAAATTTTTTAGGCTTTCTTATTATGCGATCGGTTTGGTTAAATAGAAAATATTAAATTTCATGATGATAATCAACAAATGTTAACTACCAAGGTCAACACATTTATTAAAGTTTTGACTGGAGTAGTTGAAAATCGAAATATGTAAATATTTGTTGATAACTGATATATAATTAGTATATTGCAGATCTTAATATAAATAGTCTGACTACTTTAATATAAATAAATAAACTTCAGTTAGTTAACCATAGTTTATATTAATTGTAAATTATTAGCAATAGTAAATTTAACTGTTTTAGCATCACTAATTTTTTTACCTAATTTTTTTTTTAAAAAAATTTTAATGTAGTAAATGTGCCTTAGTTAGCGTTAGGGCCAAACACATCAACTAACTGTTGGATAAGCAATGAGATTAAAGCTTAAAAAAAACAGTATCAAGAAGAAAAGAGTTGCAGGTGTCTTCAGAAAAGTATAATTTCATTAATTGCATTGTGCTTTTTTTTGTCGGTTTATTTATTCAGATATTTACTTCTGTGTTCTTTTGGCTCTTAGTTTATATCCCTACCTAAACTGAGCAGTCACAGTGGTGAAAGTCGATTTGGCTTCCTAAGTGGTTTGCAATGAAGAAGTTGGGTAGAACTTTGTAGAACAGGCTAGGCAGAGTTTCTAGGAACCTAATATTATGTTTTTAAAGTAGTAATATCTTGTTTCTGGTGACAGTGATGTACCTCCAGTGCCAATATATTAAATACCACACAAACCTCTATGATGATACTGTACAAATGAAAGGATTATAAATATATTAACTCAGAGAGGTTTAGCAAATCATGTTATTAGATTGTCTTGAATTCATTAGTAATTCTTTTATTTTCATTTGAAATTGAATCTTATAGAATGAAAGTTCAAATATAAATAAAAAATCTGTAAGGATTACGCAAGATATTGACAATATTCTATAATAATGAAGTAATTAGTCTACTCAACCCTAAAGTTAACTCGATAAAATATTAATTTATAAATTAGCCAATCGGACTAAAAGCCAGTAAAGCACAATATAATTAAAATATGAAATCATGTGTAAAAATAATAGTATGGTAGTCTGAGTAACATGCTTCTGAGATTATTTATTTTTTTCTTAAGAAAATTATAGAAACATCCAAAAATAGAATTTGCACGGTTCATACATGTGATCTGTTAATATATCAATATATTTAAGTCTGATTAATACACATTTTGATTTCATAAAATTAAATATTCAACCATTAACAACTTTAAAATTTACAAAATAAATTGCATTATCAATTTTCTTATCCAAGTTTTTACAACTATTGCACTTTTATTGATAGTATCTGCAATAATTATTAGTCAAGACAAGTCAGGTAAATTAAACCCGAGACTAAAATTGCTAAATTTCGGATTCAAATCTTTTTGATTAAAACAATGAATTACAGTTATAATTTTTACTTCTATGACTATTGAAATTATTGCATATTCCAGAAATAAAAATGAAACAATATCAACTCAAGAAGTAATCGAAGCTGCTAAGATCATAAAAATTTTGATTATGGCATTAATTTATTATGCAAAAGTGCTTTTTTATTATTGTAAAGATCAATTTTCATTATTCTTCATAAGCTTATTTTAGTAACAATCTAAGTAATTGATATAACAAATAAAGTAAACCAAACATATTTATATGTTATAAATTTTTAGTTCCAATTCTATTTATCCTTTATTACATGCCAACTTCACATTATTAACAACTTACAGATTATATTATCAAAAACCTTAAATGTAGTAAGAAGATACATTCATATATGAAGAAGCTTGTGTTTTACATAATAACTTATCGATCCAGGAAAATTACTACTAATCAATAATATTCTATAATTTTGAACTCATTTAGTTCTCCAACAGCATTGAGATGTCATCGAAAAATGAACTAAGTTTAAGATATGCTCGAATTTGGACTGACCATTGTAAACTCTTATTTTTAGGACAAGTAAAAAAATAAAATTTGAAGAAGTCATAAAATCAATTTAAGTGTTTGCCTTTGTTTATCTTATTTAAGCAAATTTGACAATAATGTTAACAAAGAATTATTATGTAGCTTTTTAAAGTCTAAGTCAACTTATTATTTAACAGCAATGACTATTATGATTTCGCCATCTCACAGGACCATGAAATCATTTGAATAAAGATTAATGCTTTTCAGTATTTGGAATTTGTGACTCCTTTATCAAGATTTCTTTATAAAAGTTAGTTAATTAAGTTCATTGATAAGCATTAAAAACAAAAGTCATGAAAATAATACAATTTATTAAAAATCAGTTCATTCTTAGCATTTTGATACCATAGAAGAATAAAATGAGTAATAGAATATTATTGATGTCAAATTAAGTGCTAATATATAAATTTGTGGCAAAAAAAAGCCTTTATTAAAACAACTGTATTTATCAAAAAAATTGAAAAAATTGAAAAATTATTTTTCAAATGCTATAAATTGAATTAATCAATGAAGCAAATTGGTTCATTATTTGTATATGTAAAAAAAATCTCTGCCAAACCGTTATTAATAAATGAAAAGTACTAATTTGAAAATGAATAGCAAACCAATTTAGAATTAAATTGTAAAATTTAAACCCTAAATTTTTCATAAGGTTTGTAAATAAACTCTCAGTAGATAAAATTGTTATTTAACTACATTTTTGCATTTCATAATCCAATTCATGATTCTGTCAATTATAGTAGGCCCCAAGATTTTTACAAATTGACCTAAATCTATCTTTATAGTAAAGAACAAGACCTTGATTTCTTTGTATGCAGATATGCCGACAGTTGTTTGATAATATAAAAAATAATTCCTACTACTAAAAAGATAAGACCTAAGATAGTGATAATATATCCAAGTTTCCACAAAGAAGAATTAATATTTACATTGTTACAATTTGAAATATGTTGAGTCGGCATTATATCTTGACTAGGAGTTGAGTTTTCTGGAATATTATTAACTTTGTTGGAAATTATCTGGTTATTGTTAATCTGAGAAATGAATATACTTGTGGTTTGATTAGGAAAATTGCTTTTT